CAAGACAAATGAAGTATGGATAAGCTTATGATATCAGAATGATCTAGGTATCAAAATGTAGCTTTTAAAGCCAGAAATCTAAAATTGTAATTAGGTAATATTGACCAAATTTGACTTAATCCTCATTTGGATATGATGGCTCACCTTTTTTTTTTTAGAAAATAAACCTGATTTTCATCAAGTTAAAGAAAGCCGAGGTCGATAATGTTTCTACTTGATATTTCCTCTGTTAATCTCAGATGATGGGATCCAAGGGACTGACTCACGCCACAGAAGTGGCCGTCCTCAACGCCAACTACATGGCCAAGAGGCTGGAAGGTCACTATAAAATCCTCTTCAGAGGCAGGAAAGGTTAGTAACCGTCGGTTTCTGCGAATAAGCCAGCTGTAAGAGGCAGCACTTCTAACAATAATAAACCTGCTTCTGTTCGGTCCTCGTCAGGTTTTGTTGCGCACGAGTTCATTCTTGACGTGAGGCCRTTTAAGAAGTCCGCCAACATCGAGGCAGTTGACGTGGCCAAGAGACTGCAGGATTACGGTTGGTTGAATTATACGCACATTTGTACCGTCTTGGGTAGGATSTGGTTTATGTGTTTGTTTTTTTTCTTGCGTGGCGCAGGTTTTCACGCACCCACCATGTCGTGGCCGGTGGCCGGCACGCTTATGATCGAACCCACCGAGTCGGAGGACAAGGCTGAGATGGATCGATTCTGCGACGCCCTGCTCGGAATCCGACAGGAGATCACGGACATCGAGGAGGGAAGGATGGACTCGCGCATCAACCCGCTCAAGGTACATCACCAGCTCGTGGCTCAGGTGAAAGGAGGGTTGGGGTTTTTGAAGTCTCATTCTTCAGTTTCTGTGTTTTCTGTTCAGATGGCTCCTCACTCGCTGGCATGTGTCTCCTCCTCAAACTGGGACAGACCATACTCCAGAGAGTACGCCGCATTCCCCTTGGTGAGTGTTCTGGACCGATCTGACGAGTCCTGTAGCTTCTGAGAGTTTGTGATGTTGATTGTGGAAAACTCAGACGTTTACACAAGACTTGTTCAGGCACGTTTCACTGTGAGCTGCTCTTTTGGGGTTTTGAATAGCTCAGTTGATGATTCACTGTAAKAGTTTTGGGTATGATGTGTTTTGTTTACCTTGTACATTTTCTGTGGAACTCAGCAAAACGAGTTGTGGTGATTTTGTCGACTCGGTGGAAAACCTACAGAACAACGTTGAACTTTAACTGCTCACTCAACCGTCCTCTCACTCTTTGACGACAGTTTTTTTTTCTTTTGTGTTTTTGTTACCCCGCAGCCTTTCATCAGACCCGAGACCAAATTCTGGCCCACCATCTCCAGGATTGACGACATCTACGGCGACCAGAATCTCGTGTGCACCTGCCCGCCCATGGAAGTCTATGAGTCCCCGTATGAGGAGAAGAGGGCCTCCTCCTAGACTTTTTTTTTTTTTTTTTGTTGCTCCGTCCCAACGTCCAACCTGCGCTCAAAGCGCTAAAAACCTCCCAGGCTTTCACTGCCGGTGAACTCTGTGTAAATATAAAATCACATCAGTTGGATCRTTTATTAGCTCTGTATTAATTGTGGTTAAATCAGCTACGAGCAACAATCCTGGTCTTGTCTGAGGGGTGGACGTTGGGACTGAGTTCTCTCTCTCTCACCAGGGTTGGGGGGCAGGGCTCACCCCAACTTAAACTATTCCAACAGAACTATTTTTTTCTGCTTTGAAAAGCCACACCCCCGGCAAATAAACTTCAAAAATCCATTTTGATCCCCAACATTTATAGTCCCCCCCCMTCCTCTGTTTTCCTGTAAAATAACTGCCTTTTCCGTTTTTAGACCCAGATTCCTGACAAATGTTTTAGTTCTCGTAGGCTTTTGTTAATATTTGTCTCATTTGAAGCTGTCCATGTGATTTCTGTGAATCGAGGATAGTTGTAATTTTAAGRAACTGTTTTCTAATCTAAATAGTTTTCTATGTTGGAAAAATGTCTGTATTAAACGTTTGTCTTTACTTGTGTTTTCAGATGACAGGTAAAATGAGACACGCTCTTTTTATACAGAAGGGAGGAAACAACCCTGTAAAAGCAGCTTTAGTTAACTGTATCCTGTTTTTGGCTTGTCGTATTTGGTCCCAGTTTCACATTTGAAACGAGTGCTAAATTTTAAATTTAAAAAATGTAACTGCTCGAGGGCCAAAAAGTAGTACAATAATGCTGAAACTGGAGGGTTAGAAATGGGAATCTTTGGCACATTTGATTAAAAAATTAAGTCATAAATGGGGAAAAAAAAACATGGAAAGTGGGTGAAAGTTTGTTAAAAAAGTTTAGTTTTATGTTAAGTTGCAACAACTTTGGTGCAGAAATATCAGGAATCCCGGTGCTAACCTCAAAATAACGAAGATGCTACGTAGAGGAAGAGCCAGGAAGGATATACCATCAGAACGAAACACAAAGGCATTCTGATGGACTTGCTATAATTCCAAACATAAGAACAAAAAGCTAAAGCAGTGTTGAGGTCAGTGTATCCCATTTGATGCTTGTCCTTGCTGGCCTTCCTCTGCAGCTTTCTTCCTCTGAACCAGTCGGTCGACCAGGACGACAAACACAGCTGATGAGATGAAGCAGAAGCCTGAGAGGWAGAAGGCGCTGCTGTAGTCGTTGGTCTGATCCACCAACCAGCCTGCAACACAAAACAGAACACACATCTGCTAATAAGCCTTTGACAAAAAGCCAACCTGTAGTGTCAGAGGTGAACCATTTTATGGTTATTTTAATACCAGTGAGAAAACATTCAGCAGAAAAGTTGAAGCTTTTATCAGACTTATTGACTTAAAGTAAAAAAAGACGCTCTTGATGGGCTGCTGGTTTCAGCTTGTAATCCGAAAATAACCATCTCGTGGACTTCATTACTGTCAGTCTGCATTTAACAGAGATATGCACACAAACAGGTCTTACGTGGATTAGGTCAGCAGTTTCTTTTTTTTTAATAGGTTACAKTGTCAGCAAAATATTCTGCTGCTTGGACTCCTCTCTAACTTAAGCCCATATTTACAGCACAAGTTTAATATTTAATATCAATATACAGCTTTCGTGTTTTAGATGACTAAATGCTTCATTTCCTCCCCGGTGATGCTTTGAAAAGCTTCTATTTAACTATTTTCCTAGAAACAAAAGCGATCAAAGATTTTTATTTAATGGATACAATTTTAGTTATCTTAAAAAAATAAATCCCTCCTGTAGGATTTAAAGGGATCCCCGATTAGTTGTAACATTAGACTTTATTTGATAAACATATTTTAACTGTAAAATAACGATTAAAACTGCTGTAGGCTATTTAGTTTTTATCGTTTTTAAACTAAAAGTTTTAAAATAAATTACACAGATGGGGTCATTTTATTTACATGCAAAGCATTCTGGGTAAACAATGACGTGGATAGGTCATCGGTGCGAGGCTGCTAGCGAGCTATATCCACCCTGAAGGTTAATCTTGGACAATATCTGATGATCGACTCTTTTAAATGAAACCAGAGAGCGTTGACAGAGGAGAAGGTAGAAATGACTCAGCCTGTAACTGAAAATATGGATGGAGGACAACAGAGCTGCTTCATGGAAGAAGAACCTCAGCTTAGCCTGTTAGCTTTAGCATTAKCCCCGACGCTATCACCATATATATATGTGTTAGCTCAGCGCTACACATTCTCCTCTCATCACTGAGGTCCTCCATCCACATGACAGAGARGGGAAMACAAAAATGACTCAGTCTGCAACTGAAAATATGGATGGAGGACCTCAGTTTAGCTTGGTYGTCGCGCTAGCACTGAGCTAATACATATAAGGCAATATAGCATCATCGCTAAAGCTAAAGGCTAAGCTGAGGTTCTTCTTCCATGAAGCAGCTCTGTTGTCCTCCATCCATGTTTTCAGTTCCAGGCTGAGTCATTTCTACCTTCTCCTCTCTGTCAACGCTCTCTGGTTTCATTTAAAAGAGTCGATCATCAGATATTGTCCAAGATTAACCTTCAGGGTGGATATAGCTCACTCACACCGAGGACCTACCCACGTCATCATTTACCCAGAATGCTTTGCGTGTAAATAAAATGGCTCCGTACGTGTTAAAATATATTATTTAAAATTGACAAAACTGAACATCCTACAGTATTTTTACAGTCTTTATTTTACAGTTAAAATATATATTTATCAAATAAAGTCTAATGTTACAACTAATCGGGGATCCCTTTAAATTCAACCAGTCTTGTAGAAAAAAAAAAGCAACACCAAGTGCGTACCTCCAGCAGGTGGACCGACGAAGCCCCCGATGCTCCTGAACAGCATAAAGAGCCCCAGTCCGCTGTCGAAGCCCTCCAGGGTCACAATGTCCACGATGGAGGTGACATGAAGGGCCACCATGCAGCCGAACAGGAAGCCGTAGAGCAAGGAAAAGCCCAGGACGGCCCAGAAGTTGTGGCTGACGGGCAGCAGGAGMAGCACCGCCCCGGCCAGGGCGGTGACGACGACGAGCAGCTGCAGGTTCCTCAGAAGCCTCATGTTGGCGAGCCACCCGCAGAACAACCTCCCCGCCAGGTCGGCCACGGCCAGCACCGACAGGACGAGAGCCGGCCAGTACTTCTCCATCCCCAAACTGTTGCAGAAGGGCACCAGGAACAGAGTGGGGATAAAAAACCCCGCTGCCGCGAAGACTGCAAACAGGATGTAAAGGAGGAGTTCTGGTTTTCTCAGGAGGGAGCACTGGAACATCTTCTTCTTCTTAGCATCGTTTTCTGAAGTTCTCTGGGCGGTCTGCAGGGGTCTCATGAGTGCGCCGCACACACACAGGTTCARCTGAAGGCCACCGATGATGAGCAAAGCCCCCCGCCAGGTGTACGTCTCGATGAGCCACTTGAAGAGGGGACTGAAGATCATGGAAAAGACGCACTCCCCTGAGCTGGCCAGGGCGTAGGCGATGGGACGCCACCTCGCAAAGTAGTGGTTGACCATGCTCATGGCAGGAACCCAGGAGAAGGAAATGCCTGTACCTGGAAAAGCAAGGTGGAAACATTTACTCCAAACCATGCAGATACTGTATATTTATCTTACAAAGCTAGAAAAAAAAACATGACTACAAACTTTTTTTTTCTTTTTAGCTTTGGAACATTACTACTATTGTCATTCCTTACTTTACAGATTTTTAAAGTGCCTGTGACATGCCTATCCTTCAAATACAAAAAGTCAAAGAAAGCATCTTTATGCTTAATAAAATTGGCATAGTACTGTACACATAATTTTACCCATTTTGTCAACATGACTGGCATATTTACTTTTCAATTTGGCTCAGCCGAAGTGAAACAGGAAGTGACATCAAAAGGGAACCATAGACTTAAATATAAAGATCACTAGACTGAGCCCCGCCCATCCTGTCCACTGGTAGTGTCCGTGACAGCATGGAGGAGCAGAAACAGACCTAACAGGTCAACAGCTCACAGCAAACATAGAAACTAATAGATAAAAAGCAGCTGAACTGGATCTGTTTCACAGATTATCTGTCATGTTTGTACAATAAATTAATAACTATGTTAATTTCATTCAACAATCATGTAAAACAGCAGATTTATACCAGAAAAATATATAATCTATAAGTAACAATGATCTAAACCAGCCCTGAAGTCAGCCTGTAACTTAGACATTAGCTTGTTGAAAAATGATGACTTCAGCTGTAATAAAGTATATTTATTATTTCTTCTTACTGTCATAAAAAATAAGAATATTTATATTTACCAGTCAACAGTTAGAAAATGTTCTCTGGTTATAGGATCAAACTTGTCTCTATTAGCTAACCATCTTCTCAACAAGCCAGGTTCTCGTCCTGGTGCGGCCCTGGCCGGGCCTTGGCTATCTGCTCCTCTCCACCTCAGAATGATTGGGTCTACCTCCTGGG